CAGCACACCTGTTCTCACTCAGTAATCAGCACACCTGTTCTCACTCAGTAATCAGTGCACCTGTTCTCACTCAGTAATCAGTGCACCTGTTCTCACTCAGTAATCAGCCTGCAAGCAGATTTAAGCTCCTTGTTATTTTTCAGCTGTTGTCAGTTCCTCATATGTAACTCACCTGTTCAGTTTTGGCTTTAATGCCCCTGTTTACCTGGTTTTCAGTTAATTATCTAAAACATTTTTGTTTAAAACCTGCCTGACTGTCACCTGCTGCTTGCACTCTTATGTCGGTCAGTCAGTCCATCCCTCTTGATCTGGAGTCAGGTCTCAGCGGCAGCAGTTTGAGCAGGGAGGTTGAGACACATCCTTCCTCTTCTATTTCTTCTAGAAGGACTCCAAGGGGCTACTAAACCAGCCGAGAGACATATGGCACTTTGCCACAGTCTCTACACTCATCGGTTCTGCTCCACATTGCACCAGTTAAGGACCTGTGCACTGCTGGTACCACCCTCACTCAGCCCAGTTTATAGATCATCTTTTTCGTGGTTGCTGGAAGCTCCAAAAATTGTGCCGTGGACCATTGATTGATGAGGTCCAGAACTTTGTGTCTTTATTGGCGGATCAGAGGATTCAGCACGAGCAGGACGACGCTACAAGAAACAAGCAAATTTACCAAGAGATATTGGAGATGATGGTATCATGACTATGCCTGGACCTTCAAGCAGTGCTGGGATAAGCTAAAAAAAATCAACGTTATATTACAGTTACGATGCCCGCCCACTTTGCAATGACGAGCCCCCAGAACCAATAAGACGAGAGCTGAGTGGAGCTGCACTTATAAATGGCAAAGTGACTCTAGTCTCTTCAGTGTGTCCGAGTACTTCCCCGGGGTCTCCTCCCAGTTTGACATGTCCAAAACACCTTCCTAGTAAGGCGTCCAGGATCCATCCTTACCAGGTGTCTGAAGCTTGCTCCTGCTCCTCCCCTGGATGTGGAGGAGCAGCAGTTGAGTCTCTCCTGGAGAACTGAACTTCTCACCCTGTCTCTAAGAAAGAGTCCAGCAACCCTGCAGAGTGAACTCTTTTTAGACCTCCTGGATCCAGGATCTGTTTCTTTTAGTTTCTACCCACATAGTTCATGACCATAGGTGAAGGTAGGAATGTAGACCGACTAGTAAACAGTGAGCTTCTCCTTGGAGCTCAGCTCCCTCTTCACCACAATGGACCACCAGAGATTAGCACAGCCTGAATTTGCTCTGCACTGTTTTTATTGATCTTAATGTTTTTAACAACTGTTTTATGTGTTTAAATGTTCTTGATTTTATATGTACAGCACTTTGTTGCAGCTGTGGTTGTTTTAAAGGGCTTTATAAATAAAGTATTAGTATTATTATAAAGTATTATTAAATGAAAATGCAGCCTTGATTTGAAGCTCGTCTGTGTCAGACATCCATCACTACTTAGGTCTTAAACCAACCACTTAATGTGAAACGTCATCCTAATTCAAGATGGCCACCACAACCTTCACAAAAAACAAAAAAGACTACAACTCAGTCCGTTTGATAGATCTTGAGCTAACATTCGGCATGGTAGTAGCTGAGAATCCTCCCCAACAGATACGTTAGGCTTTACCAGATTGTGGGACATCATGGTTTAAGACTTGTAAGGTTGCTGGTGACACACATTCCATTATTTAAACAATGACTTCAAACTGAATCACCAACAATAATATCAGCCTGTGTCTAAGGAGGGTTTCACCTTCTCCTCAAAGCTGCTCAGCTCCGTGTCGGTGATCTTCCAGGGGGTCTCCTTCTGCAAGGCCTCAGCCTGATAACTCTCCTCAGAGCTTTCATGGAGACGGAAAGGCTCGATCATGTCATCCAGCTTCTTCAAGCTGGAGGAAACACATCAGAAGATGAGCTGATTCATAAAAACAACATTTTTATTCAGCTGGTGAGATCTTTGAGTGGAAGTGGAGCATGATGGTTACCTTTCTGCTCGGGGCTTGATGTGAATGTCATCGATGACGTTAATGTCGCTGCACTTGATTCTGAACTTCTGCAATAAAGACTTCATCCTGCAAATCACATCACCACAGACTGATTCATTTTCACATCACATCAGCGTTTTTGGTGCCTGGTTTTATATTTTTGTAACTTTATGCAGTCAGACATTCTTCTTTTAACAAACCGTTGTGTGACTGAAACATTGGACTCACTCGTCTCTGTCCAGCTCGCTGCGTTCAGTCTGTCCTGCGATGAAGATCCTTAACTTACAGTCCTTCCACTTCTTCCTGGTGGTCAGGATGTAGGGCAGCAACAGGGTGAGACCTGAGACACGACAGACAGGTTCAGTTTAATCAGAAAAACTGTCCACTTTACAAAAAAATGCAACTATGATTCATTTTTTATGACAAGGCAAGTTCATCCATAATGCTTTTCTTTTGGATTCAATTCAATTCAATTCAATTCAAAAATACTTTATTAATCCCAGAGGTAAATGATTTGTTATTGTAACTCATTATCCTCATTTCATTAAGAGATGTTATAGATGCTGATGGCTGTAGACTGGAAGGATCTCTTGTAAAGGTCCATCCCACAGTGGCTCCTAAGAAACTGGCTGCAGATGCCGTCTGATCCGTCCACCCAGACCGGCTGGCCTCTCAGTTCCTGTAGGACCGTCCGAATGCCGGGCAGAACTCCTCCCAGAGCGATGGTCACTTCTCCCAGCAGTCTGCCGAGCTCCTCATTGCTGCGGATAGCCAACTGGTGCTGAGGGACGATCCTGTCCTTCTGCTGTCATGAGCCGTGTTTCCTGCTAGTTCCAGGATCTCAGTGGTCAGACACTCGAGCACAGCTGGCAGGTAGAGGAGAATGCATCCACAGAACATCCTTTTAAACTCATTTGGGATTTGAGGCTGTAGTTGAGATATTATTTGAGCTTTTTGAGATGTTAATCAGCTGCTGTTGTTTGTAGAAAACTGCCTTGTTGCCATGGTTACGCATCATAACAAATGTCCAAAACTAAAAAAGTTTCAGTAAAAATCCTTCCAGCTGCACAGCATCCGATACCAGAGGAAACAATCATCCAAAAAATGTGATTTACATCCAGAAAAAGAGGAATTAACGTTTCCAAAAGCAAAATCTCAGAATGAAAGTAACAGAGCTGCTCCAACATGCAGCCACCTTGAGCGGCGCAATTCTAGAACAATAAGGAAGAATCTAAGTTGGTACTTTTGTTGCAGGTTATTTATTTATTTATTTAATTCCTGAGGATTCTGCACCATTGAAACTGGCTTCGGTTTTATTTTGCTGAACTGATACCTCCTTGAAGCTTGCTTCCTGTTTTATTTTGTAGAACTGTTTTCTCCTTGAAGCCAGCTTCCTGTTTTATTTTGTAGAACTGTTTTCTCCTTGAAGCCAGCTTCCTGTTTTATTTTGTAGAACTGTTTTCTCCTTGAAGCTAGCGCTGGTGAAGATTCTCAGTCATCCAGGACATGGTGAATTCAAAAAAGTTCACGACAAAAACAACAGGACTTTATTTGTAACAGAAGACGTTTCGCTTCTCATCCAAGGAGCTTTCTCAATTCAAAGAGTAGAGTGTGTGGGGTTTAGGTTATAAAGCTGATATAAGATACACACATACATATGCAGATTGACATATTACACCTCACAGTAGGGGTTTGTTAAGGTTTTTGGTAATCTAATTCACAGATGTGGCCCCTCTGGTCATGTCTGTGTGAAAACTGACTCGGTGTCAGTCCTAAAGTTGCATTATAAGTTTTTGAAAGTTGAAACCTGATGCCTCCTCCTCTGTTTAGAGATGGTTTCTCTATATATAAACGGCTTCCTTCACTCCCCTCTCAAATCATCTGTCTTCTCCTTGAAGCTAGCTTCCTGTTTTATTAAGACTTTCAGACCTCTGAACACTGAACCAGCTGTCAGGCATGGTGGTGGGAGCATCATGATGTGGTACAAAGTGGATGAAACATTGAAGGACTACCTTCTTCAGCTTCACAACATATTTAGCAGCTGGACGGTTAAAACTGGGACACAGTTGAGTCCAACAGGACAATGATCCCAAACATCAAAACTGGTTTCTGATCGGATAGGTCAAACAAACATTAGGTTTAAGAAATGACCTTCTCAAAGCTTTGACCTCAACCTGTTAGAATGTTTGCAGACTTTGAATAAAGGTCAGGTCTGAAGCCAGGAAACCAACCAGTTTAACTGAACTTTACCAATTAAGAAGGGAGAAGAAGATGATGAGTAGATGTACGAGGCCACCTCAGACTAACAAACACATACCTCCGTCGTCGAACAGCCACCACACATCGATGGTGCCCTTCGGCTGTTTCTTCTTAAACTGCCCACTGGCCTCCATCAGCTTCTCATTCATCCTGGCAATCTGCGGGGGTGGGGGGCCGCACACGGACACTGGAACACATAGAGATATGGGGGGGGGGGGGGGGGGGGTTGTTAGAAGTGGGAGTTGGAACAGACCATCATTCCTCAGGTTTAGCCAAAGACAGAGACCCTTTTGCTGATGGGTAAAGGACTCCTCCACAGAGTGGAGCCAATAGAGCCGTATTATTGGATTGGTCACCCAGAAAGGTCTTTGGGGGACAGTCCAAGTCCATCTTTAAAGGCAGTTTTGCCCTCTGTGTGTGGACGAGTGCGTCTAAACATTATCAGCTGACTGAATGTCTTAGTTGTGTACCTCTGGTTGTGAGCACTTGCTGAGAAGGATTCCTGGACTTCCTGAAGAGTCCTTTGGCCTTCCCTCCATTTGGAATCAGCTCATTATCCAGAGCCTGCTGCTCCTGCGCCGCCTTCAGCATTTCCTCTGAAACACACAAGCAGCTGTCCAATCAGAGGCTGCGGATAATTCATAGTCAAAATTATCCAGTGGTCAAATCAAACTGCATTTACGTCAGAACTGCTGTAAGAACTACTCTATAACCAAAAGAACTCTTCTCATGGTTCACCCACTGTTCTTCAGTTTAATCGCATTAACTTCACATCTCATCCAAAAATCCAAACAAAAACATTCATTAAGCCGTGCATCACTATCAAGAAGCTCTGACCTTTGGTAGCCAAACAAATGACAGAGATGAAACTCACTAAAAACAGTAAAAATGTTGCCTTCAGTGTCTCTGAAAGCTTTGAGAATTCCTGACTCTGAGTGAGGATGTCCCACAGACCATAACTCTGGAGCAAACCCACCTTACTTCCATAAACCTTCTACACCTTCTCCATCTTCTGCCTCTTTATCAGAGGATCTACAGTATAATCCCTTCAGAGTTCTGGGTCTTCCTCGAGGTCTCCTCTCTGTGGGATAAGCCTGGAAATCCTCCGAAGGGAGACGTCCAGGAGGCATCCTAAACCTGAACCACCTCAGTAGACTCCCTTCGATGAGGAGGAGCGGCGGCTCTACTCTGAGCTCCCTCTGGGTGGTGGAGCGTCTCTCTTGGTCTCTAACTGATCTTCTACAGTTTCTCCATCAAACATCGTCACTTTGTCAGCTTAGACGATCACAACAGAAAGTCCTGATGGACTTTATAGAAGAAAGTTTATGGATGTTGGACTTTCAGAACTTTTCCAGTTTATCGTTTATAGTTTTATTTATTATACTTATCATCCCTACACGGTTCTGTGCTTCCGTTTAGTTTCTGAGTCACGTCTTTAGTTATCAGTTCCTTCTAACACTTGCAGTTTACATATTAATAATTTATGGTATAATAAAAAAAAAATCTTCTAACAGTTCAAAAAATTTGTGATTTTCCTTAAAAACAAAAGCTCACTGTTCTTTTTCATTTGCTGCCCATTCTGCTTTAACCCTTTGAGTGCATCTTTGTTGTTTTCCTTCCTAAAGATGTGTTGCAGTTGTGATTCTGATAGAGAAGGGAACTTGATACGGACCTTCAGCCTGGACGAGATGGGACACGTCCAGCCCCTGGTTCATCCTCAGCATCACCATCCCAAACTCAAAGTCAAAAGCATCGCTGTCACAGAGAGAAGCAGGACTTCAGCACCCTGAGTAACGTTCAGAACAGGTTCGGTACTCAGCTCTGACGTGTTGCTTTGAGACTTACTGCAGAACTCCCACGTAACTCTGGACCTCATCTGCTCCGGCCGTCCTCCAGTTCCTCTTGAAGCCGATCATCAATGTGTTCGGCTTCATGCGGCCCAGACCTGAAGCCTGAGAACATCAGAAGAACCCAGAATAATCTGGACTGAAAACTTTCTCCAGAAACTGTCAGAGTGTGCTGAGCAGGAAGTCTGGGACAGAACAGTCCAACCAGCAGCTCAGATCAGGTCCCTGGACTGGTCCCTATCTCTTAATTAGTTCTAGCTTTAATTTGAAGGAAGCAGTTCTGACACTGAGCAACATTTTTATCTCAGAGTGACTGAGTCTTAACGAGGTTCTCTTCCTTGTTAACTTCAACCTGCTGCTACAAAGTTGCACTGAGGTCCTCCTGACGAGTCAAGGCCAGAGTCCTAACGGGACCTGATCCAGTCCTGTAGCTTCAACTTTGACCAAGACGACATTTTGTCTCTGACAGAAGACGGTTGTAAACTAGAGAAACGCTGGTGAAGAAGTTAAAACTAAGTCAAAACAGTAGCTAAAACTGACAAAATAGTAACCAACAGCTAATAGCAGCAGAACAACGGTTAAAAGCTAAATGGAGTAAAATTAAAACTAAAAATTAAAAGCAGAACATTAACTAGAAGCTAAAAGCAACAAAATGGTAACTAAACGCTTAAGCAGAAGAAAAGTAGCTAATGGCTAAAAGCAAAATATTTGCTAAAATTAATAAACTGTAGCTAAAATCAGCTAAATATGCTTAAACTAAAATCAGCAAAACAGTAGCTAAAAGCTAAAAGTAGCCTTTTTTTTAGCTAAAAGCAGCTGAAATATTGCTAAAAGTAGCAGCAAAATAGACAAAGGCTAAATATCAGTGTCCTAAGAAGACAGAAACTGAAAAAAACATTTGATGGCATTTTATTTTTAGGGGGAAATAAATAAGTTATATGTGAGTAAATATTTAGAATAGTAAAAAAAATGTACAAAACAACGAAACAAAAAGAGAGCACCTATCTGCTGAACAAGCTGAACGTTCTGATGTAAGAAGAGCTAAAACAGCGCAAAGCCTGCAGAAGTGTGTGGACTCTAAAATGTATTCAGAAAGAGCAGTAGAAGGACCCCGACTCCGCCTACTAACCCTGACTCCGCCTCCAGACCCTGACTCAGCCCAAATAGGTATCTGACTCCGCCTCCAGACCTTGACTCAGCTTCCAGACCCTGACTGGCCTCCATATCCGGACTCGGTGTTCAGACGCTCACCTGCAGCATATTCTCGGCTCCTTCCCTGAACTCATCGCAGGCCACGGCAGTGTAAAACACTTTCCGTTTGGTTTTGTTCAGCCACATCTGGTTCTTCTCCATCCCAGCGTTCATCTCCTGGAGTGTCTCTGATCTCTGGCCCTGAGAGGCTCACAAAAAGACACTTTTTAAATCTTCCATACACATTTCGTTCACTTTTAGAAACCCGAGCCTGATTTTTGACCTCTGTTGTCCAAACAAGACGTTAGCGTTCAGTAAGATTTGCTTCATGTGAAACTGTGAATAAACTGATTACAATAGAACCTACAACAAAGACTTCACAGGTGAGACAGAGTCCGTAGTTCTTGGTAATGGAGTGAGCCAGGTCCAGGAGAGCCGGTCTGGTCCGTGCCGACCCTGTTAGAGCCAAGATCTGTGGCCTGACAACGAAACAGGACAAAATAATTTTTACTTTTATGAATTTTTTTCGATAAATCTACAGGTTAAGTAAATGTAAAAAAAGAAACTCGTTCTTTCAGTTCTTGGGTTTCTTTGTAAAACTGGTTTGGTTCTAAACTACAGTGACCTGCAGTCTTTACCTGAAGTTCTTGACGTGATCTTCTACACCGGACAGGGACAAAGCGTTGCTGACGGCACTCACAAAGGTCACGGCCTGCGTGGACGAACCCCAGTTCACGTCTGCAGATAAACTAAAAGGTCAGCACCTTGGACTCACAGGGAGCCCTTCAGGACCTTGGTGCACATGAACAAGCTCACCTGGCTTCTTCACCGTGACGTAGATATACAGCAGAATCTCAATCCCATATGTGAGCAGAGCGGCCCACCAGTTAATGACGAACATGACGACGCAGCAGAGCAGAGCCCCCATCAGAGACAGCCACATGTTGTAGTATTTATAAGCTGGTCTCCAACCTGGGGACAGAGTCAACAAACAGGACTGAGGAGGACAGAACCTACTCCACCAAGAGTCCAAATTGTACGAGTTCTAGAGTATTCTCCCTACAGCTTCCCTGTGTTCCATTGATGCCCTGGACCTCCTAGTGTTCTCTATGAATCTCCTGGTGATCTCCTTAGCTGCTCCTTGCCATCCCCACTTGCCCATCATATCTGCAATCTCTCTGGGACCTCTCTGGACTGCCTTTGGAACCTTTGGACTCTCATGCCGAGGAGTTTACATCTCCTACAGTAAGCTTCCTGCTTATTATCAGAACCGCATGCAGACCTACTTGTCCTCCTAACTGTCCTCCTTGCTCTTCAGGGTTCCAGTCCCTCCCACCAGGGGTTGCAGTACTGTATGTACCTTTATTCATTCACTATTGTAAATACACACTGTGTGTCTTAGAGTTGCTGTTTCGGTCACAACTATTCTGGGTATAGTAAAAACTTCACACAAATGAATTCTGAAGACTGCATCAAGCTCAAAGACAGTCACCAAAGTCCTTGCTTAATAATCCAGGTATAAAATCCAACAATTTTCAGTCAGGTCATCTGGACAGTTTCTTTTTTTTGTGCTGAGACGTTTCGCCTTCCATCCAGAAGGCTTCATCAGTCTGTGGAAACACCAAACAAAACTGCTTCTCCCCCAACAGCTTACTATCTGACTGATGAAGCCTTCTGGATGGAAGGTGAAACATTGCAACACAAAAAAAATAAACCGTCCAGATGACCTGACTGAAAATTGTTGGATTGTATACCTGGATTATTGAGCATGGACTTTGGTGTTTTGAACCAGTTTGACATGACTGTCAACAAGGGAGAGGGCGGGCACCAGAGGAGAGGGTGTGCCCCAGAGACCATCTTAGCACCAACAAACATTTTTTCCACTTTGGAGTAAGCTGTTGGGGGAGAATCAGTTTTGTTTGGTGTTTCCTCAGACTGGTGAAGCCTTCTGGATGGAAGGCGAAACGTCTCAGCACAAAAAAAAAAAGAAACTGTCCAGATGACCTGACTGAAAAATGTTGGATCAAAGACAGTCATTTATATGAAACAGTTTACCCTGGACCACTGGATAATAATCCCAGAGTGTGGTGTTACTGGATTCAAAGTAGGAACATTTCTTCAGACTGACCTGGAGACTTGGCGTAGGATGCATGGAAACAGGAGAAATTGATGAGAGCATAAGAGGCCAGGAAGAAGTTGGAGATGATTGGAGCTATGGTGTTCAGATTACCTACAAAAAACAAACGAACACCTTTGAACTTGTTTCCGGGAACCTGTGAACATAAATGAGTCTTTGCAGTTTTTATCAGACAGTCTGGGTGAGTTTTATGATGTAGATGGAACTAGATAAATGTTGTTTGTTATGATGTCAAAATAAGTTTGTTTGGTTTAAAAAAAACCTCCAATGTCTCTTAATCTGAGGTATGAGTACAGTATGTACAGAAACGTTAAATCTGAGCCGCCGTACACCACTGAACCCACCGATGAGGATGAAGGCCACAGAAATGATGAAGGTCAGGACATAACCACGAATCGGCTCGTTGTTCTTGCCATGTCCTTTGGCAAAGAAGTGCAGAGCTTTGTAAATGTTGTCTTTGCACAGGGCCTGAGGAGCGGACACCGTTCAAATCAGATGAGCAACACATTTTACATTCTTACCGAACCGCATCAAAATAAAGTTACTCGCCTGGAAGACTTTGGGAGCACTAACAAGGGAGGCTAGAGCTGAGGAGAGAGTGGCTGAGAAGGTTCCTGCAATGATGAGAGGTCCAAACCCGGACGCCATAGTCATCACCTGGACCACAAGGATCAGATCCGTTCAGAGCGTTAATCTTTAAAAACAGGACAATCTTCTACGCAGGGACGTTCCAAATGGCTGTTATACCTGGAAGTTGTTCATCAAGCCAAATTTACAGGCTTGTGTTTCACAGGAAGAAAAGTTATAACCGAGTTCACAGGCGGACACAGCCGAACCGTTACAGGGAACGCCGGGAACAATGAGGTCCGAGGAGTTTCCTGTGGCGTCTCGGACAACAGTAGCAGCTGAACGATTCAAGAAAGAAAAGATGGATTGTTTTCAAGTTTTCTGTTACTGAACAACAACAAGACAAAGTGTATGGAAAACAATTATTGGAGTCAAAAAGTGAAGAAAAACACTTTGATTCCTTTGACTTGACTGAACATTGTTCGATTTCTGCCTGGATCATTGAGCAACTTTGGTGTTTGATTCCTTTGGTTTTGTGTTTGAAAGATGTTTGCTGAAGGAATATGGTTTTAATTTCATGATGCATTAGACATCATCTGGGGCTTGACTTTACATTTTTAATGAAAATTTCACTTTAGTCACCAAAATAACTTATGAAAAACTATAGTTTTGAAAGTATTTTTTTGCATGTTGTTGTCAGCTGATCCTGAGAACAACCAGGTTGGACTCACGGTTCTGTCCTTCAGTGCTTCACTTCATTTTTTATTTTTTATTTTACAGATTAAAAAACAAGGAAAATTCTTCTTCTTCTACAGCTCCTGTCAGTTGTGGAGTTCCTTATGGATCCAATATTGGGTCAGTCTTATTTACACAGTAGATGCTTTGGGTGGGGTCTTCCCTAATTCCATGATTCACTTCGCTGTTATGCAGACGACGCACTGGTTTATATTCCTCTGAGTCCTGACATCCCAGTCTTTGTTAGACCCTTCTGAGTTGTATTAAGGAGGTGAAATGCTTCAGTTAACAAGCTGTGTCTGATTCTTCTAATGCTTCTGTAAAATGAGCATCTCATCATATTTTAGAGCTGTTAATATTTAATTTTCATGACTCTGGGTATTGTTTTGGAATGTCAATTACAATTTGAAAAACTGAATAATTCTGTGGTAAAAATATGTTGTTTTCTTACATTTCCAAGCTCTAGTCTGTCTAATAGACTGGTATCAAATTCATCCATCCATCCATCCATTTTCTTTACCCGTTTGTTCCATTTTGGGTCACGGGGGTCGCTGGTGCCCATGTCCAGCAATCACTGTGCGAGGGGCGGGGTACACCCTGGACAGGTCGCAAGTCCATCACAGGGCCACATAGAGACAAACGAGACAAACAACCATTCACTCTCTCACTCACACCTAGGGACAATTTAGAGTTACCAATCAGCCTAACATGCATGTTTTTGGTCTGTGGGAGGAAACCGGAGTACCCGGAGAAAACCCACGCATGCACAGAGAGAACATGCAAACTCCACCCAGAAAGGCCCCCGGACCGGGATTTGAACCAGGGACCTGCTCGCTGAGAGGCAGCAGCTCTACCAGTTGCGCCACCGTGCTGCCTGGTATCAAATTCATTCAACCTTTATTTAAACAGATAAGTCACATTGAGCCTCGAAGACTCATTTACCTGTTAAATCACAAAAATAAAGCTCATTCCTCTCTGCATACTTATAATCCATGTTCTTTAGTCCGCCATAATGTTCTCCTGGTTCTGGTTTTGTTCCTGATTTGCTGCCTCATCAGCTTTTAGTTTCTTTTCTTAAAGTTTGATTTACTTTAATTTAAGTCTTTCGTAGTTTGAGTCAGTCTGGACACATGAAGTCTTTTATCACCTCCTTGTTGTTGGGTTTTTTTTGTCTCTTTATTTTGTCTTCAGACAGTCTCTGTGTTCTGCAGCTCCAAACTCATACCAAGAACAAAACTAGTATCTCTCCCGTGTTTGAATCTACTGACTTCCTGTTAAATTTAGGATTGATTTAATGTAAAGTTGTTTTTTTTAAACCTTTGCACGGCCTCAAACCCAAATCTTTATCTGAACTTACCCTCACCACGGAAACTTTAAAAATCACGTTCAATCACATTTATTTAGTCTTTTATTTTCAAAGATTTATACATGATTTCATTTTGAAGCTTCTACTTTTTCTGTTTTTTTTTTAATGATTTTAATTGTTTTATGGATTTATTGCTGAACACACTGGTCAGCTGTGGTTGTTTTAAATATTTGTTCAACCTTTATTTATACAGGTTAATCCCATTGAGCCTCGGGGAACATGTACAAGAGAGACCTGATTTCTTTAACAAAAAATGATGACAACAGTGGATAACAACAACAACAACAATATATAAATATATTTTTAAATAAATATAAATATATATTTTAATAAATATATTTTATTAATAAATTTAATTTGATTTTTGAAACAAATCTGGACACTGAAGTGTGGTCCTTTAATTGATGAAGGACCAGTCGACATGATAAACATGAAAGGATTCAGAAGGATGTTACTGCCCTGTACTTACAAACACATAGAGCCACTCCGAGGTAGGTGACCCCAGTGATGAGGATGGCCAGTAAAGTACCTTTAGGTATGGCACCCTGGGGGTCCTGTAACAAAAACCCATCTGTGTCAGAAAACCCCAAAACAGTCTACAAAGAACTTCCAGGAGCTGGTGACACCTCTACATGTTCCTAGACTTTACCCGTAAGTCTCCGGAGATGTTGGCTCCAGCCAGGATTCCTGTTGCCGCGGGGAAAAAGATGGCAAACACTGAAAAAAATGTTTCACCGTCTCTAAAAACTGGGGAGAAATTTTCCCTGAAGATGTTGGCTGTGGTAGAAAGAAGAAGAAAAAAGCAACTAAATATTTAGAAAGTCAGAGGAAATGTATTTTTTACCCATTCAATTTGTACGAGGTTAAAAAGCGTCTTACATTGATAACTAAAAAAGCCTTTAGATCTCTTATCTTCGGTCGCAGGAATGGCTGTTCCTACGAACACGTTGACTATGGCCACCAGCAGGATGACGAGCAGCACAACCTGGGCCTGTTGGAACAAAAGAAGATTAAAGTTCACTTCACACAGAATCAACAACCAGCAGAACGATTGTTTCTCACCTTTGCCTCCCATTCCATTCCAGCAACTGAAATCCCCAAAAGCAACACGACGGTGATGCAGCCGATGATTCTGATGTCATTTATTTCATCCACCATCAGAGTGGCGTACTCCTGAGGGCAACAGCAAGGCGATGCATGAAGACACACTCCAACACACACTTCTTCAAGAACTCGTCCAAACAACACCACGCACCTTCAGTAAATCCACCACGGTCTCGGCAAACCCCACGACGTACATAGCTACAGCCACAGCGTTGGCGAAGGCAAAAATGAGCCCAATGGACCCCCCAAACTCTGGTCCCAAACTGCGGGAGATCAGATAGTAAGCTCCCCCTGAACAGACATCAGACAGACGGGTCTCATTATCAAAGCCACCACCCCCATCAGGGTTTAATCAAACTGTTGCGTTAGAAGATCAAAATCTGAATCAAAGCGGAGATTTTCTGTGGATCTGGTGTCACCGCAGAAAGTTAACAGAGATGTGACCTTTTATGGCTGCTTCGGTTGATCTTCTGCTACATTTTAAACGTGGAGAAAAAAGCTGCTTTGAGTTTGTTGTTTAAAGTACGTTGAGTAATCTGCAGCAGAATCCGGTTTTATCAGAAGCTGTCGTCAGAGTTCATCTGAACGATATCTGTAGTGGATGATTAATCTGCACATCACTGATTGATTGATTTTATGTCGGGCCGAGCTGTAAAAGGAGGAATCAAGTGTCCAGAGATGCAGCTTTCAAGGGTTAGAGACTTTATCTCCAGCCTTTATCCTTCTGCTCATTCAGCCCTTGAACCATTCTGTGTCACAGTGAATGTGTTATCCAAGATGATATTTTCATTTCTGATGTTTCAGCTGCAGAAGCTGTAGAAGTTATAAACGGAATGCTGCGATGATGTCTGAGTCATGTGGAGCTGCGACCCGCGGGGGGAAGTTCTGACCTACCTCCTCGGACCACACCGTTGGTGCAGATGGCTGACATGGAAAGGCCCGTGATGGTGGTGACCACACAGCTCAGACAGATCACCACAATCCCCAGACCTGAAGAACCAGGATTTACAGATCTGATCAGGTTTTCATCATGCAGAAATAAGAAAAATCTGCTTCAGAATACTGTTTCTGTCATCTTACACTATAGCTTTTAGCTACTGTTCTGCTACTTTTAGCAACCATTCTGTTGAGTTTATCCTACTTTAAGCTACTGTTCTACTTATTTTATATTTTAGTTAATGTTTGGCTAATTTTAACTTTTAGCTACTGTAATAATAATTTTATCTTTAACTACAATTATAACTCTTTTACCTTTCAGCAACAGTTTCGATCATTTTAGCTTTTAGCCACAGTTTTGTTGGTTTTAGCTACAGTTGTGCTACTTTTAGCCTTTTAGAATATGCTGCAGTCTGTAAAAGATGAAGTCTGGGACGTGTCTCGTTGTCTGGCTCACCCCAGCCTGCCTGACCGAAGACCCAGGACAGACGGATGAACAACATGACGCCCCAGATGTTCAGCATGCATCTCACCTGTGGAGAAAGAAGGGGTCAAAGGTCAAACGGTCGAGATTGATCACAGTCAAATGAGACTCTATGAGACTGTTTCCACGGCAACGTATTCAGTCTATATCAGTATCAATAATTAAAAGCAGGTCCAGATTATGGTCTCAAGTAGTTCTCCGTTGTTCCAACACAAAGCTGGGTTCATGTTAGCTGCAGGAGTGGTTCCTAAAGTTAGGGTCCAGACCCCACTGTGGGTCATGGAAAAGCAAGTGAGGACCCTCATATAATCGTAAAACTAAATCTTTGCTTTTTGTTATAATTGCGACAAAAAAAAAAAAAATCCTTGTATAACTGTTAAAATTTAACCTTTGTTTGATACGAGTTTGAGGTTAACAGTTGACTTGAATCAGCTTAAAGCTTCTGCAGAGTCCTGCTCAGAGACTTCACGAGGAGCCAAACTCACCAGAACTCCTCTGATCCAACCAAACTTTATCGCTCCGTTGTCGGGGAGAACGGCCGACTCCAGGTCGTCAGAGGGGGTCCCATCGCTCCCCTCACCATCGTCCTCCACCGTCTCGGGCACATCGATCGCTCCATTCTTTGGACACAACAGAACCAAAGCAAAGGAGGAGAAATTAGGATGAGTATGGAACAAAATTTTTCACTTTGGTTTTGATTTTAGGCTGAACATTAGGACGAGCAGATAAAACTGTTTGTGTTGCTCCGAGCTTAGATTGTTCACGTCTTCTGTGTGACATCGAGCTGAATTATTCTTAAAGGTTCCTTCTTCTCCTACGCTGCCATACATACTCCTAACGTTTGATCTGTTGTAAAAATGAAGATTGCTTCCTGCAGCTCTTGTTGGAACAAACACTCAAAGATCTCCGTTTCATTTTATGATACATTCAGAAGCTATACTTTAATCCAAGCTATAAACCTGCCTGACCTCTGACCTCATGTCTTTGGTAATAAACCTTAAACAGCAGTAAAGAGCTCTGAGATGTTCTCAAAATAACTCTGTATCTGTGTTCTTCTCTAGTTTTTACAAGCCCTTAGATAAAGAGATCAAATGTGCGCGCTGTCAGGAGGTTTTTAATAATTAAACAACTGGTAAAACGTTGTTTACTCGACTCACCTTCTGGAAGACATCATGGAGCTCCTGCAGGGACGGTCTCACAGCTCGCTGGCCGCTCACGCTGCCGGCGTTACGGTAAAAGTCAATGTTGGGCACTCGGTCTAAGGTGTTGTGACCAAACGCGCTGATTACCGAGGGCCGGATGGCCCTGTGCCCATCGTTGGAGAAGTTAGTCTCCTCATAGACCGGAGGTTCGTCCAGAGCGGGATCGTAAGAGGAGTTAACGTGTCCCTTTCCATTAGATTTGATCCTCTCCATCAGGGATGCTGGAGATGGTTCTCAGGCCCAACAAAGTAAAAGATCAAACACCTGAGCAGGTTTGAAACCTCCTGACATCCAGGAGTTTTAGAACAGAGCAGGACAAAGTCGTCTCGTTTTGTGGATTTATGGATCTGTTTCTGCTGAGCTCAGATTCTTGTGCTAGAACCTGGTTCTGTCCCATCAGCCCCAGCTTTTATACTCGGGGTCATCCGCCGACTGACTGCCAGCTATTGGTCAGCTCTTTGGATCAACCCTCAGAAAACTTAAGGAAGGGGGTCAGATTTGCCCTCCATCCCAGGGGACACAAAGGCGTTGCTTAACCATTAACCGGGTCGTAAACGGCAGAAGTGAGATAAAGGTGCTCATTGCTTGAGTTCTGGAAAATTGATCACTAATATTTTATTCTGAAATGCACATGTTGTTCTGTGGCTGCGGTATATGAGGAATATTTCCTCAGATCTGCAGGTTCTTCAGATTATTCCCCAGGAAACAAGACGGAGGAGGTTTCCATTAGAAGACAGCTCAAATAAGAAAGTAGGAAAAGTTTCAAAGTTTTACGGCTGTATGGACGCAAATGACCTGACGAGAGAGGAATATTTACAAAAGCATTAATAAAAATAGAACGACAGGCTGGAAAAAAAGAGAGAAAAATACTGCACTTATAAAGGTTTTATAAATGGTGAATTTTTTTGATGGATCTGTTTGTGAGAGGAGAAAGTTAGCTTACACAAGACAAATGAGCACATTTATGAGGAGAATTGGAGTTAATGTAGGACCAGAAATTACAGGAACAAGCCCGAGGCAGTCCACATGACTTCTAAAGTGCCGCTAAAGGAGCTCTTAACGAGTAAACTTCCTTATTACTGAAACACCTCGGTGATTTATGTGTGCAGTGAACGGCTGGCTAATGACTTCAGCTCTGACCTTGGCTGCGCTGCTCACTGACAAAAGACATGTTTTTATTTCTCAATCAAAAAGAGTCCTGCAGCAGCGCGAAGCCCATCAGAGCCCAAACAAAGCTGCTCGTTCTGTGCAGATGTGGCAGATTCTGCATTGCATCTGCAGAAAGAGGAAAAACCATTCATGTGGGACAAACCACCAGCTGAAGTCCTCAGTAACCTTCAGCTTCTCCATAAGATCTCAGCAGGTGTTTTTACAGCTAATGAAGACGTTAATCCTCTGCTCAGCGGCTCGAGATCACTGTCACATTTAGAGCTTCTTTTCTTATTAAACAGAGAGGACATGTCTCACACCACAGAAGACATGTCTGAAATCACTTAAGCTGTCCTAAAACACTGAAACTCTGGACTTGTCCTGAAACTTTGAACCTGTCCTGAAACTTTGAACCTGTCCTGAAATTCTGGATCTGTCTTGAAACTCTGGATCTGTCCTTAAACCTTGGACTTGTCCTGAAACTCTGGGCATGTCATGAAACTCTGGACTTGTCCTGAAACTCTGGGCATGTCATGAAACTCTGGACCTGTCCTGAAACTCTGTATCTGTCCTGAAACTCTGGATATGTCCTGAAACTCTGGATCTGTCCTGAAACTCTGGGCATGTCATGAAACTCTGGACCTGTCCTGAAACTCTGGATATGTCCTGAAACTCTGAATTTGTCCTGAAACTCTGAATCTGTCCTGAAACTCTGGATATGTCCTGAAATTCTTCATTTGTCCTGAAACTCTGGACCTGTCCTAATATCCTGGACCTGAACTGAAACTCTGGACCTATCCTGAAACACTTCCAGTCAAATTAAACTTTATTTTTAAAGTGTAAACTTTCTAATAGTAACTGAGGTATTGTCTAAACAGCTCTAAACAACAATTAATTTTTTTCTTCAAATTTAAACATTTTATTAAATAAATTCTGAGGATCTTTGGCCTTAAACAAACAGAAAAGTATATCCAAGAATTAGATGAATAAACTCAGAAAATGCCAATTTGAATCGTTTCAAGGTCAATAATTAAACTGAACAGCTCTCTAATCATTAATGGCTGTTATGAAACATTAGGACGTGTCACGGTCAGTGGCCATGTCTTTGTCCAAACAGTAGCTGAGATGGTGGTCGGAGGCCCTGTTGTCCACATCTTCCATCGAGAGCAGCTGAAAATCCAAAAGACAGACTAAAACTCATCTTGACTCATTTTCATTCAGAAACAGCAAGAAGACGACAGAACGTCTGATGCTAAAATGAATGACAAATGAATGACAGCCGAAAAAGCTGAAACTGAGTTGTTCAAGTTTAAACAAGCAGGGTAAAGTTTCCAATTAGTCAAACATAAGCTAAAAGCAGCAGAACAATAGCTCAAAGCTGTGAGCAAAAGGACAGAAGCTAAAAATTAAAAGCAGTAAAAATAACCATAAGATGCTGAAAGCTACAAAACAGTAGCTAAAAGTCACAACCAACAAAGCAACAGCAAAAATTAAAGCAATAACTTGAAGTGAAGAGCAGGAGAACAATTGCTTAAAAAATAAAAGCAGTAAAAAAACAGCCAATAGATGCTAAAAGATAAACAAACATTAGCTAAAAGCTAAACACAGCAGAACAATTGCCAATACCTAAAAGCTAAAAGCAGAACATTTGCTAAAATTAGTGAAACAATAGCTTCAAGTTAAGAGCAGAAAAACAATTTCTTAAAACCATAAAGCAGTAAAAAAAAAAATGCCATTAGATGCTAAAAGCAAAAGCTATTTAAAATCAATGTTTGATAATCGTCAAAGTTCAGCTCCAGTACTGCGCTTCTTAACAACGAGCAGTCAGGACGTTAGCTCTCACAATCTGTAATAAATATATAAATAACAACAAGAATCAAATTCTACAGAGCGTGACGTGAACACTCAGACCGCCCGTCAGACTTTTAAACTGAACCCGGATCAGTTTGTGCTGAGACATGAAGGACTTGTTTGGTCAAATCTTGAAAATAACCTGACTTGTGACCTGTAGGCTCTCAGAGTGGGTTGGGGACTCTCAGCCATTAAACTTTAGCTCATTATCTGAGAAACGGTCTGAACGCTCGGGATGGGAGATAGTGAGGAAGTGAAGATTCACAATCTGCTGCCTTCATGAGGTAAATACATTTCACTGTTGTTGACCCTCCTGCTGCCTTTGGGTCAAAATGATTCATGAGGCCTCAGTGAGCTGAATGTTGGTCCTTTAGCTGTGACTCTAGCTCACGATCAACAACATTGTTGTTCTGTTACATTGTACGACAAATATATTATCAAAGAACTGTAAACAATCCTCCCATAGATGCCCACCGAGTGCTAAAGCAGTTCTGTTTGGATCTGCAGCTCTGACATCACAGCAGAACCATCATCCTGGGTTTAAACCGGTCACAGGAAGTTAGACTTTCCCCGACTGAACTGCAGTTTTCAGAACTTTATCTCTCTCTTTTTTTTTTTTTTAAACAAACACAGCTCAATAACTAGATTTTACAGATTTTAACTAAACTTTTTCAGCTGTTTGAACTGTTTAAATTTGAGAAAACAATTATTATTTTCAAAAATCTTTCCTCTTTTTTTCCCCATTTGTCCTCCAAGCTTCAGTCTTTCTGTTTCCATCCACCCAGTGTGTCAGAGGTCAGAGGTCAGAGGTCACATACCCAAACCCTCACTGACTTTCACTGTTTCTGAACTCTGTTTCTTTTCCAAACTGGAAGTGAAGACTATTTTTTATTTTGTTTCATCTCCTCCATAAAACCCTGTAAAACCATTTAACAGAACCTGTGGTTCCATCAAACCTTCTGCTAATGAGTTTTAATTTAATTTTTTTTTTTGCTTGGTTCTTCCTCGGTTTATCCATCAGAACATCATCGTTTTGCGTATATATTGTTAGAAAAAGAAGTTCTGGATTCCCACTGAAGACGTTGGAGCTTCATCCATCAAAGTTTCTCCAGTGTCATGTGAACAGTTGGTGGAGGGGTTATCTCAGAGATCCAAACGTGTTCCTCTGCTGGAAAACGACCGGGTTACTCTTTAACTCTGGACTCGTCAAAGCTTGTGAAACTTTTATCTCAAATGTAATTAAAATCACTTCTACATGACTATATTTGTGTTTTGTGTTTTTGACACTGAGTCAGCAAATTTTTAGTCTGCTCTGAGTTTCAGTCAGCTTTAGAGAAGATTCAGCCAAGGTTCATTAAAATAATAAATAAAGTTAAAGTAACCATGCACGTCAGAAGAAGACAAACTTTTTTTTTTTCCTCTCTACAAACAGTTACAGATAAGGACTCCAGAGATAATGGTGCAATAATAACTGCATTCCTCACAGGATGTATGTCAGGGTGGGCATGCAGAGTTGGCGTGCACGAGCGTGAACCGGAGGCTGTCCTGTCACCACAAAGACAAACATTGTGTTGACCTCATTGACCCCTCGCTTCTTTGTTCTTGAGTGAAGTTCAACATTAATGAATCTCTCCTTCCTCCTCAGTTTGTTTTATAATAACTGGAGCACTGAAACACCCACACAGCAAATTTATCACGATCCGTGCAGTTTTCAGTTTTTGTCTCCCGTCACAGAGCTAAGAGTGGGAATTGGACACCCTCCATCTGTCCGTCCGTCCATCTGTCCATCTGTCCATCTGTCCATGTGTCCATCTGTCCATCTGTTGGTGTTGTGAGCGTAATAATTTGAGAAGTAAGTGAGCTACTGACTTCCATTTTGGTCTGTGGCTGCATCTAGGAGTAAGAAAAGTCCCTTTTAAAAATGTGCTTGTTACATCAAAACACAAGATGCCTGCCAT